TTTGCGATCATATTTATAAACATGATTCATAATCTTTTCATAATTTTCATCAGTTATCTTTTCATAAACGTAATTTTGTAAATCAGCAACTCTTAACGGGTCAACCTGACAAAATACTAAAGTATCCCTGAAAACATAATATTTAAGAATGATTTCACCAAATGATTTAGGATAATCATCGAACGCCTGAAATGCTAACAAATCATTTACCGGAATAATCATATCAAAAGTGACATCAACTTCTTCATTTGCTTTCTTGAAAACTTCTGAAGGGTCAATATATTTACCACATACTGAGTTATCATATTTTTGAACATTATTATATAACGAATGAACAAACTTTTTAACTTTCCTTTCTGATTTTGGTTTATATGTTGCAAATGCGAAAGATTCACGGGCGCAATCCATCTGAAGATAACCAGCATCACCTCTTTCGGTTTCTACTTCTAATTGCTTAAAGCTTTGATTTGATGATTTATAACCAACGAATAAACGCATGCATTTAAAAGCGGCATCACATGTGAAAGCTTTATTTGAAACTAGAGTTGCTTTAACTTTGCGTTTAATATATGTGTCACCTAATTGGTTCACATCATGAGCCGGATTTGTAATTCTTAAATGAGTTTGTTTATCATCAAAATATGGAGCATCAGAGTCATAGCATGAACTTTCAAGTTCTCTATAATATCTTCTACCGTCATTCTTTGCGAATATTTCATTTATCTTTTCGAATGAATGAAATACATTTCCATTAATCGGTTTAGTGTTTGGCACTAAATAGTTAGTCGTCATTTATTATTAAATAAAAAATCAAAATTAAAAGATGAAAATGAATTTTTAATTTTAATGAAATAATCAACTATGGCTGCAGGATTCTTTAAGAAACTGTGGGATAAAGTAAAAAGAGGAGCGCATAAAGTTTGGGAAGGGATTAAGAAAGGAGCAAATTGGATATTTAAGAATAAAGAAGCAATTAGTGACGTTGCTGAACAAATAGCACCTAATGTTCCGGTAAGGGAAGTATTAAATAAAGGAGATAAGGTTTATCGTCGACTACAACCGATACTAAGATAAAAATAATATTTATTTATTTTTCCACTATCTACCCCTATTTTATTAAGTATTCCTTCAGCAATTCCACCAACTGCGTTACCTGCTTGTGCTCCCATCGCCGGATTACCTGCTTTAGCACCTAATACTCCTCCTATGATAGTTCCTGCCGTTTTCGCTACTGGTGCCAAAAAGTTTGCAACGGGTTTAATAATCTTTTGATGAACCCAACTTGCAGCTTTCTTAATTCCTTCCCATAATTTTTTAAAGAATCCTGCCGCCATCTCTGATTTAATATTAATTAAAAAATATATTTCATCACTTATATTCTAATTTTTTATTTAATGATAAATGAAACCGATTTTAAAAATAAATGAAACAGAGGAGGAAGAAATAAATGAAAGTGAAAATGTTCAACAAAAAATAAACGTTGTTAAACCAATTACTGAAATAAAAATTTTTTCATCTGTTGATGAATTTAATGACTATTATGCTAATAATAAAAAATTATTTGAAGAATTGACAACATGTAAATTGAATAAAATGTTTAAAGTTGAGGACAGAGTCCAAGACCCGGAGGGTCATGGATTCAAAATTTCAAAAATAAAAGGTGTTGTTAGTTTAAAATCTATTCCTCAATCAAGAATCACCTCATTAATGAAAATTGATGATTTAACAAAAAGAATAGAAATTATTGAAGAGCGAATAAATCAAATTATTGATTTCATAAATCATGACTCGTTGAGCCCGGGTCCTTAAAGCTCAAGGCACAAAGTGCCCAGGACTTAAAGTCCATCACTGAGTTCAAGGTTATATTCATCAAATATTTCATTATTAAATGCAACTTCTGCTAGTTTATTTATTTTTTCAATACGATCATTTGAAAGTCTATCGTTTAATTTTTTCTGAAGTTTTTCATTTTCTAGTTCTGAAACTTTATTTGGATGATATTTAAACCCGTTAAATTCTTTTTCCTCAGTTTTGATCATTAATTTACAAAGAACTTTTGTGGTTGAAATTCGTTTAAACCATTTATCATTAATATTTGTTATAAATTCAATATCTGGAATTAATTCCCAAATTTTTGCATTTTCAATTAATTTATTATCAAATGCAAAAGCAATAGGTTTAATATTAAACTTACCTTTATAATATATACTTTCTACATAATCATCGAAATAAACATCTACTTGTTTAACATTTTCAAGAATTGGTGAAAGAACATCCATTAATTGATTGACGGTTACGAATCTTGATCCACTCATTTTCATACGAATTAAAAAAATAAATTATTCAAAAAATGTAAGACATGAATTTTTAAAATTGGTTTCATACAAAATAAAAATAAATTATTCATAAATGTAAGACATGAATTTTTAAAGTTTATTTTTCATTCATGAATGATAATTATATCTAATTTCTTTTACTCTCTCGTATATACTAGATTTAAAGAATTCAGAACTTTTACCATAATCTCCTAAATGTTTTCTAATCCCTAACGTGTGCCAGTTATTATATGAAACTGTATAAACTTTATCTTTATCTTTACATCTTTCATCACTTCCAATATATTTATATCTCAGTTTTGATTTTGCATTTTCATAATCATTAACGTTTAATAATTCACAGTCTTCCTTTTTAAATAAATGTTTAAGATATTCAGGATTTAATACTCTACGTTTATATGCTCCTAACTTAGTTCTAAAGGTTTTTCTACAAAATTTAGGAATTCCATCCTCTTTAATGTCATCAATGATTTCCATTTCATTATTTTCAATTTCTTCTTCTCGTTTATGAGGTCTTTGATTATGACTCCATTGATTCCATGAAATTAAATATTCTTTATCATTATATTTATACCTCATTAGCTTATTTTGGCTTTCATATTCATTTAATAATTCACAATCTTCATTTTTAAATTGAAGTTTAACCCATTCAGGATTTAAACAATGTTTAATTAATCGCGGAATATCTGACATCATCTATATATAGCTTCTTTTATAAAAGATAAAAAAATAAATTATTTTAAAATTAATGTTAATTTTTTAATGATTTATAAATAAATATATTTTAATGCATCGTCTATATATAGATGTAACAAAAAAAGTCACACAACCCGCACTCATCTACTACTTTAGAGAATACCAGTGCCTTTACTCTGAAAAAAAACTAAAGAAATTATCGTAATTCTATTTCAAAAGGTGTATTTTTGTGAAATAACACTTGAAAGAATTTCAATGTACCCACAAAAATATACGTTTTGTACCCAGATTTTCCTTACTTTTACCACTCCCCATGTAATTTCTGGGGAAAACGATAATTCATTTTTTTTATGGATGAATAGATCGTTTTCCTAGAAAGGACCTCATATCTCTGGCTAAAAAGAGTGTCAGATCCTAAATAGATTATTGATCTAGTGTACAAATCCAATAAAAAGCCTATTTTTTGGCTTTTTTGGTGCTCATTTTTTCGAAGATCTACATGAATATGGGGAAACCATCGGATTTTTTTGGTTAACCCACATCTTCATGTAGTCTGGACTATCTTTCCTCGAAGGACCTCTTTACGGGTGTAAAAACTCATAAAGTTCTCAAAAGATTCATTCTCGATCTCCATGCTGAAAGAATTTACAATAAAAACGAGATCTACGCATCAAACTGCAGCCATAAATGAACTGAACCCCTAAAACTCAGCTCTTAGTTTATCAAAAACGTCGAAATCCTTCTCATTGCAATCAAAATTTCTCAATAACTCATAAGAAAAATCGAATTTTGATTAAGCCGATGTTATAGGTATCACAAATACTACAAACTTGAGCAATATCGAAATTGCCAGCAAAAGTTTGAAATTGCATTGCTCATATTTGTTTTGTAAACTAAAAATCTGCTTATATTATTCATTAATTTTTTATATATTATTCATATACTTTAATAAAAACAATACTATTTCACCTTAAAAATGAATTTCATAAGTCAATATTATTTTTTTGAAAATGTATCAATTTTCGATTAAAACAACATGAGAATAAAATTTACGCAAAATTATGTTAAAAAATGGTTTTAAAAATTTACAATTGATGAAGAATAAGATTGCAAGAAGTTTTGAAGTTTAATTTTAAGAAAAAAAATTCGGATATTATTCATGGATCTAAGTAATCTGATATTTGAGTATCGGCACTATGCATAAAACATATATTTATAGTTTTTTTGGAGTTTTATGATTTTAAATATATTCAATTTTGGCAATCCAATAGATTTTTAAAAAATAGGTAAATAAAAATAGATTACATATGCAGCAGATTTAGAACATGAAACAAATCTTATAGTGACCCAAAAAAAATTCATGATCCAAAAAAGAAAAAATTTGGCTAAATGAAAATCAAACCTTGGCATAATGAATCATTATGTCGGATGTTTCCACTACACTACACCTGCAGTTCGAAAAATATCCTTGGTGGTTCTATTTAATAGCTACTCCCAACGATAGGCGGTGTCCCCAGCTTTAGAGAGGTGGTAAAAGTAAGGCAAATCTGGGTAATAAAATTCTTTCATTATTCAGTATTCAAAGCTCATAAAATTTAAATTAGAATGATTGAAACATAAAGAAATCGAAATTTTTTGCCGAATCTTGGCGGATTCGCGTGGATAGGTTTTGAGAAATTGTATCTTTCATAAAAATGAAAAAGAATGAAATTAGTTTTTCATAATATTGTGATTAGTCCTTCTGCAATCAGAATTTAAAAATTTTTCTCACCGATGTAAATATGTCAATTTTTTCCAAATTATGTATTTATTCAATTTGAGTGCTACCAATAGATCAGGTGTCTGTTCATTCCAAAAGCAAACCTATGAGGCTGCAAGTGTGCTTTGAGGCATAATCTTAATTGAATGCCCTCTCAAAATTGAGGGGATGAACGTGGAGCCCAAAAAAAGTTAATTAAAATATTTTAATTAAACTTCATTTGAATCTTTGTCTGATTCGATATCTTCGATGTCTTCTGCGTCATTTTTACTATTTTCATTATTATTTTGCTTTCTTTTATAAAGGATGAATAACGCGACTGCAACTCCAACAACTACCAGTATTCCAATGACGACACCTGCAACAATACCACCGGTATTATTTTTTCCTCCATTTCCTCCTTTAGAACCATCTTCATCACTTGGAGATTCTTGAGGTTTTTCATGTTCTGGTGATGGATCAGTATCTGGTTTAGGATTAGGATTTGGATTAGGATCTGGATTAGGATCTGGATTAGGATTTGGATTTGGATCTGGATCTGGATCAGGATTTGTTTGATCTGGATCAGGATTTGGATTTGGATCTGGGTCAGGATCTGGTACTTCTTCTGTATATCCAACTCTACTGACATCAGTGCCAGTGAAAACATTTTCATCAAGTCCAAATGCTTCGCCAAGTACAGAACTAGACTTAACTCTTTTAGCACCAGATGCCGGCACAAAATTAATTATATTAGTTGTCTTAAATTTGATAGCAATATCCTCATCCGAAGGATCACCAACTTCATATTCAATCTCCTTTGTTTGATCAATAGCTTTTAGATGTAATTCGTTCAACAATTCAGATAATCTGAAATTGATAAAGTATTGAGAAATTGGAAGATATAATGAACCTAATTTGGCTTTAATGATGAAAAATTCATTAGTTTTTTCAATTGAAATTTCTAATGGTGATTCACCCTTTGGTATATTTATTCTTTCAACAGTTCCTATCCATGACTTATAAAATGCAATTTGAGATGTTTTATAGAATATTTCTTTTTTGACGTTTATGGAATATGATTTTCTAATATCTACAGGTAAAATGCCATTCTTATTGGTATACTTTAACATTACTGGTTGGTCATTTGATATTGTAATTAAATTGGCACATTTATCACCTGAAATATATTCACATTTTCTATACACTGTGTACACATTTTGACCATTCAGATGTAGGAAATTGCCCTCAATTGTGTGTTCTTCTATGGTACGAAGCTGATGATTATATACGATGACATGTTCTTGAAAGTCTTTACGATAAGGCATAACAAAGAAAGAAATGTCTATTTGTCCATTATATATACTGTCACTCAAATCAATTCTCTTTGATGTTTCATCTTCTTTCAAAATATATCTAACATCAATGAATTGAATCGGATATTGTGTATCTGTCTTAATTCCAACAAGAACTTTTGTAGGTGCATTATCGTATTGTAATTTGAAAATTTTACTATTATCGAGTTGCCCATTTTGTTGCACACAAATATAGTAAGAATTGAAGTCACCAATAAAAGCATAAGGGCAAGATGAGCTTGAACCAGGGTAATAATTTTTCATATCATAAAACTCTTTTCCTGAGATCATCTGTATAGGTTGTTCATAAATGTAAAGGTTTGGCTCAATATTGGACTCGCAGGCTCTGAGTAAAATGTAATTAGAATATTTTTTGAGTTCAGATACAGGAATTAAATATAAATGAGTTTCAATTGGAACATAATCCAAAATCGGAACATATTTATAGGAAGCAAGATAAATAAATGCATTATCATCTAGATTTTCAATATTAATTGGGCAATGAATCGTGAAATAATTTCCTGATAATTCATCAACAGAATACCAAAATTGGTAAAAACCTTTAACTCTATTTAAATATTCGAATACACGAGTAGGCATATATTTGGTATTAGAATCAACCTGGAATACAATTCTAGACAATTTTTCGGTTGGTAAAAAACCTAATCTATGTTGCGCACAATTGATATTTTTATAATTGCCATTGATAGGGAATACGGCATTAAGTGTTTCATGCATAAATTCTCCATCAATAATTGAATCTTGATTGAAAGTTATTGTACGGTCACTTGATGTGATGAATTGTGAAGTTTGAGAATCTATTGAAGGATCTAAATCAGTGTAAAATGTATAACTTGACACTCCATTACTTTGCTTTGGAATAAAAATTCCTTGATAAATTTCACTTCCTTTCGAAAAAGATAAATAAACATTATTAGTCAATGCAACAACATCTTGATTTGGATTTACAAATTGTAATTGTAAGTTTGTATGCTTATCTGATGTTGAAGTAAGATCCCAAATTTTAATTTGATCAAGATTTGATAAATCCGATGGGATTTTTGTATCATAAAATGACGAATAAGAAGTAAGAGACCATTTATCATTTACAATTTTCCAAACACAATATTTGCCTTTTCTGTTTGGTTCAAACATCATATATTTATCTGTTGATTTTGATGTCGATATTTTCCCTAAAGCCAGTTTTGAAAGTCCTTTTGTTTCAATTTTAACTGAAATTTTATCATTAGAAAAATATCCATCATCAATCATTATTTCTTTTAATGATGAAATTGTATTTAATCCACAATCAACATTTCCCATTGCTTCTTTTGCAGAATTTGTAAGTGCATTAATTTCGAATCTGTATGGAACTGAAACATCCAATGAAATAAATGGCGATAATGTTGTAAGGGATTTTGAGTAATAGTTTAATGGATAAACTTTTGATGCAATATATTTGCTATTTGATTTAACAGAAACGCTAAGAACTTTATTTGTACTTGTGTAATCATTGTATATATAAGGTATAACCAAAAATGAACTCTTAGGATCCTGGAAATATGACTCACTATTTCCGTCACCGGCTTTATTATAATCAATGAAGCAATGTTCATAAGGTTCAAACCGATATAATTCCGAATCATTTGATTTTTTTGCAAATTTTGGAGCAAAACCAAGAAGCTTAAATCCATCAAATACATAATTCCAAAACACTGATGGTTCAATATTAATATTAATATAAGGGAATGGACATTTTGATTTATCAAGATTAAAAACGACGGGAACTTTGATACCGCCAGAAATCAAAACTCCTGTGCTAATAAGTTTAATTATTTCTACAGTTACATTCACTCCCATTGAAAATTTGAATGGAAATTCTAAAGAAAAATCACTGATTGATGGATTAGAAGGCATTACTGGTTTTTCAACATATGGAACAAATTTGAATGATCTATCTCCTAGATTGATGCCATTTGAACCAAATTCAGCTTTTTGTGTAAAATACAATGTGTATTTTCTGAAATATGTTATTTCAAATGGAATATGAAGTGTGACATCTTCAAGTGCAGCCTTTAAATTTGCTTTAAGGTGTATAATAAGTGGAATGGGGCCTATCATTACTGGAATATCACGAATTGGAATATTTTTATCTATGAAATCAAATCCAGGAAATGTAACATCTCCTAAAACACCAAACAAAACACCTCCACAGACTTGAATATCTAGTTCAACTTTGTTTTGAGAGTTAGAACCGGATTTTTCACATTGAAGAGAAACTGTTCCTTGTATATATCCACCTACATTAACACGAGCCGCCATATTTAAATTTTCGAGGACAACTCGTCTTAACCAATTACTATCCTTTTTCTCACTTGTATCTTCTATCGTTGAATCTGAATTATCTGTTGTCGAATCTGATTCATCTTCTTCTTTCTTTTTCTTTAACAATTCAAGAAGGTTATAGTCTGGTTTTCCGCTCTCTAATTTTCCATCATCACCTTCAGTCCAATAGAATTCTTTTCCGACAGAGTGCGAAGAACTATCTTCATCTCTGTAAATTTTTTGTACTATAGATAAACTATAATGCGGTATTAATTCGGATTCATTTATTCTTATGGTTTTGTAAACTTTAACATTGTTTGATGTTTCTGCACATTCACATATTTTGTAAAATTTACCATTGTATTCAGTATGAAATACATAATCTGAAAAGTCTTTGTTATCCATTTGTGCAAGAGCAAGAACATGTTTTGCTTTTGCAAACCCTTGAATTGCAGATGATTGGTCACCAATGATATTGTATGCGAATGTAAATGTGCCCTCTGGGATTGTATGAACTCCTGCTTCCCAATCTGTTTTGATATTTGTTTTGGGTTTTCTGCTTTTGCTAGATAAAATTGCTTGGTCAATAAGAAATTGATACTGACTTATTGATCTAGAGTGGATCAATAAGGTAAAGAACATTGTTAAAAATGAAAAACTTTTTCAAAAAAAATTGAGTAAAAAAATCTTGACTAGTCAAAGTTTCAAAATCCCTAGTGTAAAAACCGTTAACAAAACAAAGTTACAATCTCTCAGATATGATAACTAATGTCAAAAATTAAACCCATTTTCTTACGTATAGTTTCGCTATCGTTTTTTTGCGTCAATATTGATTGGACCTCTATCGGATATATAATAGACTTTACGAAGGAAAAGGAGTTTAGGAAACCTTTTCAAATTTGTAAATGATATTGAATTATTTAAATTTGAAATTCTCCTCTCAATTTATGTAATACAATTTCAATACAAGGCGCATCTCAATTTTGAGACACTACTGAATTTTTAATGAGTCAACTCAAAAAGATTGGATTCATTCAATTTAAAAGAGGCTAAAAATTGAAAATTCAGAACATACTCCATCATATCTCGGAAATTGAGTGAGATATGATAGTTATCGGAAATGAAATTGAAAAGCTAAAATTGCTTGATCAAAAGGAAATTGATCTAGAATTAAAGAACATTGTTAAAAATGAAAATCATTGTAAAAAAATCTTGACTAAGTTACCTCAATTTCTATCGTCCGAATTTGTAAACTTTTTTTACAAAAAGTTGACCTCTAGTTGATTTTCCTCAAATTAATACAAGCAGTATTGACTATCACAAAGGAAAGTTTTATATGGTAGTTGTTACGGCTAAATTTATTGTTCATTAACTTATCATATTTAACAATTAAAATCAACATACTTATTTTATAATATTAACAATATGTACTCGCTTATACTCGAAGAAACATTGAGGTATTCGCCATAAAATCAAGTTTTCGGATTTGAATTATCTAATATCTTCAACTCAGAGGCTCTTCCATCGAAAATTGCAACGATAGATTTGATGTCATACGTGAAACAACTAATATACCTTAAATCCAGGTTCCTGCTATCGGCCAATTTTTTTTATAAATTTAATAAAATTACATTCTCTTTCAAAATTTATTAAGAGTATGATATTTAAGAAATATCAGCGAAAGAAACAATCTTCACTATTCGAATTTTGCCAAAATCGATCTATATGAAATTACCAATTATTTGATGTTTGAGATTATCATAATTATAGCTTTCTTGGATTAACATGAGTTATTTCAAGCATAATTTAAACACAAATTATAGTATTTTTTCTTGATTTATTATGGAAATATTATAAACTAAGGCATTTTTTATTAACGCATTCGTTATTGAATATCTTATCCTACACATGTATAATATAGGGACATATTCCGACAAAATATTATATTCTTGAAAATCTCATTTTCAAAGCTTGAAAGCATATGTAAAGATACAGTCCAATGAACTTAAGTTAGTTGTACATATCTTATTTTATCCTTTATAATATCTTATTTCCAGCCATTTTTTTAAAAATTGAGACCTTACAGGGCCTCTATCAGTAACAAATCACTAAAGTTACTTTTTTCATATGCCAAAATTGATTTTTTTTTTATAAATAACTGTAAATATAACATTGATCATATTTTATCTTTTCACTTTTTCCAAATCTAAAAAAGATCTCAAGAAGAAGACTCAAGGATGTGATTCCTTCAGCACTCATTAATGAATAATGATTTAGATTTCTTTTTTGATTTCAAAATTTATCATGAAATTAGAAAACAAAGCATAATAAACAATATTTATTCTTTAAAAACAGATATATTATAAATTGAAAAGTTGATTTTGTTATTTGAGTGAATTAATATCTAATTCTCTGATGTAATCAATGGCAGATACAAAAAGATTACGAGCAAAATCCAAACCAGATGGAAATGAAATTTTTGTAATACATTTCAATAGCAACGCTGGTGAAATAGGATCTGCAATTGGATACAAACAAATTAATGGCCAAAAAAGTGAAAATATGTCATCAAATGCCATAAGTTCGTTCTTCTTCCGCTTCACAGTTCCGTTAGATTCGTATGTTGCTCGTTCAATGTAATGTAACGACTTTGCAGTGAGCCAAGCAATAGTAAGAGGGTCTGTATGGAACTGTATGTACGAAAGTAAGTCTAATGATTCTTTGTAGTACTTTGAAATCTCGATAAATTTCTTATTTGTCGAATTTGGTGGTAAAATTTTGTCGCTGATCTTTAATGATGCACAATCTAGTTGTGGAATATCAATACAACGAGAGTAGAATTGGGATTTGTCAACGTTGGCGTTCAAATATGGAAAAGCTAAATATAATCTGTCAAAAAAGAAGCGAATTACAGTATATTTCATAACCGTTTCTTGAAGAGGATTCGTTGGGTTGATAAGGCTTTTCAAACCTTCGTAAATGAAGCCGACTCCGGAAAAATCAATTGGCGGAATATTAAATTTGTTAGTACTGTTATTATTTTTGCTGATGATAGTCTTATTTAGTTCTTTAACGATATTTCGGACTTGTTCATCGAATAATGGGACTAAATTAGCTGAATTAATATAACAATAAAAAATGTCGTCAAATTCTGAATATGGACAGTAGTCAGACTTCGATTCAATCAACGTTTGAAAGTTGACAAGTCCATCATGTATTTGTTTCTCTGATATTTGAGGATATAACGTTTGATCTTTTATTTTTAGTGCGTAATTATCAAGAGAGAGAATATTATGGAGTAATGAGATTCTCTCCTTTGATGAATTAAATTTGCTATCAATAAATAATCTATATTCGGAACAACGGAAAATGACTAAAGTATTTGAATCTTTGCAGTCTTTGATAAAACAAATGAGCTGTGATAAAGTAGATGCTTCTGCTAGATAGAAATTAGAGTAAAAACCTTGATATTTGCTCTGTAGTTTTGTCAACTTTTTAGAAATAAAAATTTGCTCTGGAGTAACGAGTTCATTATTTGGCAATCGGAATTTAAACAGACATTCAGGTGCATTCTGGGATAATGCGTAAATTTCGTTAAAAAGAAGATTTGTTCTGTCGACGTTATTTTGATAATTTTTCTTTGTGATTCCACGAATGGTACGACCATATTTAATATATCGAAGGCAATCTTTTCCTTCAAGTTGTTTAGGGAAGACAAGCTTCCCTTCCTCATTCATTTTCTTAGACTTGAAAAAGGAAAAGATAAAAAATCTCTGATTCAGAGATTTTATCCCAAGCATATGGGGATTCTAAATTTTTGTCCCTATCGTTATCCCAATTGAATTTTTTTTTGGAATTTAAAAATTTTTTTTCTCCATGTAAACTTAAATTTTAATTTTTACCACTAAAATGCAATATTTCAACAAATTAATGAGTAATAATATTTTAATTTATAATAAATATTATAAATCTCCTCAATTTAATGTAATTATTGTATTAATTTTTGTTGAAAATATAAAATCTTCAAGTAAATGATGTGAATTTAATATTTTTAGAATGTTGTTTAATTGTACTATATTATGCATGTAAAATTTTGTTACAATACATTTTATATGGGATCCCCATTGCCCAATTGAGAGAAAATTGAGAGGTGGGATTGGGCTAGCCCAATTCAAAATATCCCAGGTGGAAATAAAAAAATTAACAATTCAACATAAAAAAGCATCTTAAATAATAATGATAAAAAGAAATTTTGTATGAATTTCAATCAAATTTGTTTTTATTCAACTTAAGAAATCACTTCATTAATGAAAGAAGTCGGGTTCACAACATATCCCGATCTTGAAACGAAACAACATGTTTTTTTGATGCCCTAAACGGGGGGGTCGCCAGCAAAAAAAAAGATGTCAAAATTTATCCCAAAAATTTAAAAAAAATCGAAGAAAGTGCATCCCAGGGATTATAAAATTTAAGTTTTCACATCTCTATCTCTGAAATTAGGCCAAATCAAGTTTTATCGATTTATTATTGCCATTGAGTGATATTAAGGGTGCACCCGTATGTACGTTTATTTGAGAGGAGGAGGATTACCCTCTCAATTTTGAGGGGTTCGTTAGTTTATTTTCTCGATGAATATGCAATAAAATTTGATTTTTACCTTATCAATATACTTCATATAATATACACATGTTCATGTAAAAACTTTTTTCCAAAATCCTCAGGAATTAAGGGATTTTTGAATTTAAAGAATTTTTTTCGAATTTTTTCGAAAAAAAAATATTTTCAGAACAGCTTTAACGGCTAAGATTTAGGATAGGGTTGTTAGATTCCCGACGATAGGTGTCTTGGAAGATTTGCCTGGTGTCATCATAGTGTCTTTAAATCAAAAATTTTATTTTGGAGTTAGTTTTATTGATTTTTCAATAAAAAACATTTCTAAAACAAGAAAATAAAACGATAAAATATTTATATTTTATATAAGGATCTTATATATTTAAAATAAATATCATTTTATTTTTTTCATTGGTGTCTGTCAAACCATAATACACTATTCAAAAATTCAATGTGTCTTGCGGTTTCAAAAGACACCTTCAAATTGAACGATAGCACAGACACTATTGAATTTTACCCATTTTATTTAGTTTTTACCCTTTTTATTTTTAAGAATTAATGACTGAAACAGCCGTTTTGCTATGACCTCAATCACTTTTATTTATTATTTTAAATATTATTTAATTTTATTATTTGAATAGGCCAACTTATATTTGAGAAGCTCAATTTGAGACCACTTAATACATTGAAATATCATAAATATTGAAATATTAAAAAGTGTATTTCAAAATATTGAAATTATAAAAATTTATAATACTGAAATTGAGACAAATTAATAAATTCAATGTGTTTTTTTTGAAATAACTCTCAAATATTATTTTTTTGTTTATTTAATGATGAATAAATATGATTGCTTTAGTCAATCATAAAAACTAATTTAAGTTTAAAATAATGAAAGGATAATTTGATCGTTTTTTAAAATACAATTATTTTTGATGATTTGCAAGAATCTTTGAAAAGAATATAATATAGGTTCTATTTTTGTAAAATTTATCCAAATCATGTATTACGAAAGAACCAAAAAGTGTGTTTTGTGTTTTGTTGTTGCGTGTTGGATGCGGGATCCTGTTATTTCCGAAATCGACAAAAAATTTGGAAATTTAATTTCTGAAATCGAAATTATATTAATGTTTTTAATATTCTTATATCAAAAGGATTAAAGTTCATTAAGAGAAAAACAATTCTTCTTCTTCAATCTATTGGCGCATTTATTTCTACACGCCAATAAGGAAGGGAAAATTATAAGACACCATGGTGTCTTCAAAACGCTAATTTTTGATATTTTTAACAACCCTAATTTAGGAACAATGTTAAGTATCAAAAAGAAAGGAGGTCTGATATAGACAACATATATCGTTGAAGGTTGAAAAAATCTCTAATATTTGAGCCCAAAATTTCAAATTTTAATTTTTTGAAAAAAGAGGCCACCTGTATGTACGTTTATTTGAGAGGAGGAGGATTATATTTTTGAAAGGGTGAAACATTATGAATATGTTAATTATATAATAATATGTATTATTATAAAAAGAAAAAATAAAGCACGTTAAAATTTTTCTTTCTTGATTTTTTACAAAATCTACTTAGAATTATGCAAAATATGACTAAATAATTATAAATTTCAAGTTAAATTTTAATTTTGATAAATAATTTAAATTTCAAAATATCAAGTTCAGTTCGACTATGTATGTAGTAATTCCTCAATAAAGTGCCAAAACCCTATTAAAATATATGAACATTTTCAACATTTTAATGTTTTTATTTAAAAATTTGATGGAATATGAGCTTCAAACAATTATTATGTAAATAAAAATAATTAAATATATGTATTTATTCGTATTACAACCGTAGTAAGTCGATTCTTCCTTTCTTCTACTGAGGTTTGAATTTGATTTCGAATTGTAAAGAGATTCAAAGGGAAAATACTAGCGGATAAAAACTACCTCCATGAAAGGGTCATAATGGAGTCAAGTTGTATTTTTTGATATTTTTTGCTTTTCGAGCCTAAATAGGTAGCCAAGATAATGCCTAAAAATAAGGTTCTAAATTCTGAAGTTTACATGATCCTCTCGTGTGCACCCTTAAAACTAAATTTGATTTTTCGTAAAATTTTTTCAAAATTCATCACTTTTTGAATGAACCGATTTTTCAATTGTTCATTTTATTCAAGAGAATTGTTTTACTCAAGAATGTAAAATAAAATCTAGAAAAGTGACGGGATTATTCTGTCATCGAAAATCTTTTCTTTGATTCTTGTATTTACCCAACATCTATGTTAGTATTTATTCCTATAGTAGCAAGAGTTTATGATGTTGTATTATTCAGTTCATTGGTTCTATGTTTCATGTGATATCTTTATATTTTTTAATTGATTTGAAAATGAGTATTATTGGCGTTTGGATGAGATCCTGTCACATATTACTCCCTTTAAATATATAATAAGATTTTTTTTTAATATCGTGTCTTTGAAATTCAGGATTCCATATCCTAAACAAACATTATATAGATATCATGGTTGCAATGACAACACAGCAATAAGCATATAAATAATTTTATTGAAAATTATTTTTATGAGAATTTTAGATTGATCGTCTTTCTATTGATTTCTGAACTATTAGTAAAAATTCTTGTCTAATTACAGACTTCTAAACTAAAGTTCCAACAATTTTTTTCGGCAAAGGTTTGTTATCGACTAAGATTTTCAATATATTTTGATTCTATACAGGTATATAAGAATAAATTTTTAAAACGGTGAAAATTATAAAAATTTGGATTTTCCGGTGATGAGAAAAAATTTGACATTCAAATGATTCAAGCAGCTCCATACATCGCGCTTGGTGTATTTCTTGCAATAGAACTTGCCTTAGTTATTATCAGTTGCGTTCTTGATAAAAATGCTTACGCCTTAATCATTATTGTACCGTTATGTTTCGCAATAATTTGCCAGTTCCTTGCAGATTCATATAGTGACGGATATCATGAGGAAGGGCTTCTTACAGTTGATACAATCAATTGGTTCTTCGGTGTTGCCTTTGCAGCAAGCATTGGAATTCCACTTATGTTATGGCACGATAAACTCATTAAGGATATAGGATTAGGTTTAACCCTTGGTGCAGTTGTTATTCAGCTCATTTCATACTGGGTTTTCAACTGCTTGAAGAAGAAAACTGATGAGGATGGATTTTGAACTCCTTTGAGTTATTAATTTTATTGTTTCTTTCTTCTAAAAATGTATTTCATACTTAATATCTATAGTTTTCAATACTTAAATCGTTCTACTTTAAAACGATAAAAATATCAGATAAAATTATTTACTGTTGAGCAAATTATTGATTCAGATCATAGTGCATGAATAGGTGAATACGTAATGTTGCAGAAAATAGTTAAAATGAATATTCGGAAAATATATATCACAAATAGCAAATCAAAATCTTTAAAACTACCAAAATAGTTATTTTTGAAATATTGTATATTACCATTGACTTAATATTCAAACAAATTTTTCAAAGGATTTAATATATCATGAAGCATGTGATATTTACTTGATTTCGTGAACATTTGTAGATTAAAATATCATATTTTATTCAAATAATAAAATAACAATAATAAAAGTTTTAAATAACATTATATCCGCTTTGTCATTCTAGTTTTTGGTTCATACATGAATGCACCATCTGACGAATCACTTTCTAATGCACTTTCTGTTGATTCATCTTGAAACTCGCTGTCACGTTGGTATCTAATTAAATTTCTTCTTCCGATTTTTCCGAAATTAGTTCCAGCAGATACTGGTGGAGCAATTACTTGATGTGTATGAGCAGTTGATAGCTGGGAAACAGCATCTCTAAAACTACTCTCGATCTGTGATAATGAACCTGATATAGCCCTGGAAATTGATGCTGATTGTTGTTGGAAATCCATCGATAATCTACTCATTTCACGATTTTGATCTGAAACTAAATTCTTGAATCCTTGTGTAATATTCATGATATCATTTGATTGTAGTTGCATTTTATCAATAATTTGGTTGCATGTGTTGTCAAATTGGTCAGAAGTCTTTGATGCTTTGGATTTTGACTTAGATATTCTTGATGAAATTGCGGGGGATGATATGACATCCATTGGAGATCCTGGATATAAAGGATCTGTCCTCTGATATGGCATTCCAAGCGCAGATTGCGAGATTTGCAATGGTGTTGGTCTATCCTGCATTCTCGATGATATAGGAGCAGGTGGAATGGATAATGGTATGGAATCTGGAAGGTCAGATGTGTTTCTAGGTATTGCTGAGAAAATAATTTTTTCATCAAATGAATAAAAGGGAATTCTGTTATTTGAACACGCGCAAACGAGATCACTAATAATAAGATTATTAGATCTTGATGTTGGCCATTGAGAAAAGCAAACTGTTGAATATTTATAATAATTTCTATTTGTGATTGGCTTAATGTTAGTATTTGAATTTGTATAACTATTCTCTGCTTTTTGTTGTATTGACATTAATTGTTTTTCAAATTCTTCTTTTTGACGATCTATTTCTTTAGTATTCTTTTGCTTCATTTTATCAAGTTGTTTTCGATGATCTTCTTCCAATTTTTCAATCTCTTCTTCGTGTTCTTCTTTAATTGAATTAATTTGTTCTTGATTTTGTTTCTTCAGTTTTGTCACCATCTTCTTATGCTTTGTCATCAACTGATCCAACATTTCTTTGTTTTGCATTTCTTGTTCGGATTTAAGATTTTCAAACTCTTCATTAAGATTATTGAGCTTTTCTGTCATTTCAGCATTTTTCTGTTGGATTATTCGTTGATTTTGTCTCTTAAGTTTATTAATTTCTTGTTGATGCTGAAGGTTAATTGATTGAATTTCTTCTTCAAATTGGTCTTCAAGATCTCTTTTATTTTGGTCATGACTATCTGATAGAGCTTTGATTTGACGTGATTCATTGGCCTTTGAATTCATTTTCTTCTTTAATAATTTAATTTGTTCTTCGTATTTCATTTTCATTTCAAGAATTTGATCTTCATATTGCTGTCTAATATCATCTGTAGTTTCTGTTGATGTTAATGATGATTCTTGGTCAAATTTGTGTTTTTGGGATTCAAATTTATTGTTTTCTTCCTTTAAAGCATTTTCATGGTCAGAAGTTAATTTCTTGATTTCGGAGTCAAACTTTTCTTTGAGTTGTTTAATATCGTTATTGTTTTGGTCAGTTAATTTCTTTTTCTCTGAATCATGTTCCTTTTTAAGATTTTGGAGTTCGTTTTCATGCTTATTCTTCATATCTGTTATCTCATTTACAAATGATAGTATCAAATTGCTTTTCTCTTTCTCATGTTCAGCTTTAATTTTATTAATTTCATCTGTTTGCATTGATAATAGCTTCTTCTTGGAAATTTCATGCTGCTCATTTAATTTTTGTATTTCTTGTGATTGTTGTGATTTAATTACTGCAGAATTGTTTTGATCTTCCTTTAATTTATTTAATTCTTTAGTAAATTGTGATTTTTGAGCATTCAATTGCTTTTGGAAATTGTCATTTTCTTCTTTTAATGCTTTTTCATGATCAGATTTCAGTTGAGCGATTTGTTTTGAATTTTCTTCTTTAATTGTATTTATTTGTTTTTGAATTCGTTCTTTTTCAGCTTGTAATTGAGCTATTTGACCATTTAGTTCATTTTGTTCTGCAGCTTGCTGTTCCCTTATCTTATTAATATTATTTTGATGATTTTCAATGAGTTCTTTCATTTCTTTGAGTTGTTTTTCTTGTACATTATTGATTTCTTTATTGTTTGTATTATCTTTGTTGAGTTCATCGAGATTTGATTCAAATTCAAATTCAGCGCCAGATTCCTCTTCCTCTTCATAATCTTCGTCTGTAGGAGATAATCCAAGTGATGTCGGTGGTAAGTCTTGTTTTACTGGGGACTTTTCTTTCTTAGTTTCTTCGTTATTTTCTGAAATTGCTTTTCCTAAAGCAGCAGTTGGACGGAAAGTTTGAGGTGATGATTTTAATGCTTCTTTTTTAGCTTTTTCCTTGATAAACAATTGTTTAAACTGCTCATCGAGAGGATGATCCCATAAAGATTCACCAGTTCGAGAATTAAAATAGAAAGGATCACCCGTTCCATCTTTGCGCTGGTAAATTTTCCATCCAGCAGGAAGAGGAACTGTCAAAGCTTCACGAGCAATCCAATATAAATCTTGATCAGTTTCTGGATCAGCTCCGAGCCACTGAGCATATTCAGCAATCTCTTCATCTGTCGGATTATTGCCTAAATTAGGATCCTTCATTTCAATAAACTCAGAAGAATCCATATTTAGATGTGAAAAAAAATTATACGTTTATTTTGTGATAGGATTTTATATACAAAGGTGCCTATAGATTGCTACTAAAAGAATATAGATCGATTCTTCCATTTTTGCCTTCTGTCTTGATGGATACATCATTTGAAAGCAGAATTTCCGCAATTAACTTCTTTTTCATTCAAGGCATAATGGTGTACATCTTCTCCATATTTTCCCTCTGTATTTATATATGCATCACTTGATTGTAAATGAAAAGGCTGCAATTCAAAGAGCAGTATCTCCATTTCAATCTTTGTGATGATATATGTGTCATGTGTAATACAAATTGCCATAATTCCTTGTGAACTTTCACATTTGGCAATTCTGGTAGTCGTTTTCCCGTCTGTATTATTTGAATTCCTTTATAAACTATTAAAAACTCTTAACAATTACTATAATCGCAGTAACATTCTATTTATCAAATGTATTGAAGCTTTCAAATAACTTTTCCCATTATGGTATCATATTTTTTGAAAATTGAACTAATTTGAGCATACAAAACTATGAGATTCATAATATCCAAAGCAATATTAATCAAATGAATAGAGAATTGCTATTAGAAAAGAAAATTGATTCAAAATGATAGCAACATATATTCTTTATTAAATAAAAACAAAACAAATAATATTATTAACAAAAACAAATCTATATTAATAGTTTCTATAATTAAAATGAAGATTTAAATTTTCTTTCTTTTTCATTTCAAACCATAAAGGATTTTCTTAGCTCCGAAGCATTTGTCAGCAATAGCAAAATAAGGATTTGGATATTGCGACATAACTTTCAGATGATAGTCTCCAAACTTCTTCACGCGTTTATATTCACTGGTCTTACGCTTGAACAGTTTAAAATTCTTGGCCGAGTCATAAATGGAAGAGTCGAATAAAAATCTTGCACGTTTTTCAATATCATTCCTCCATTTTCCGTTTTCAGCAACATATACTACTTCTGATATGGCCACCTTAAACGAATCTAGAGATATGTTCTTTACATCTTCATGAATTTCATTATTATTAATTGAAAAGATGAAAACGCCTAAAGAGAAAGCAGCAGCAATGGCTGGGTTATCAGGCTTCTTTCTACTAAAGAAAGCAACAACAGAATTAGGCTGCATGTAAATTACATTGAAACATGAGGAACCTGGAGCTGAAACATATACTTTTGATGATGCAAGAAGCCTAGAAACTCCTTCTAAATCTAATAAAGTGTCAGGAGGATACTCTCTCCAGTCATATTGCGGATATGTTAATTTTGTATAGTTAACTAGCTCTTCTAAGTTTAATACACAACCCCAATTGCCTTTTGGCTTATTGATAATTGTGTAAAGAGTAGGTTTTATCGAGGAATAATTGTATTTTTTGTAAATAATGTTGTGGAGATCAATCCACGATGCAAATAGTGAGTTAATTCCGAAATCACTAACAACAAGGTGTAAGTCTTTCACGTAAATCCACTCGTTAGTGAAGGAATGAACATGGTCAGGGTCAAATCCGATGAATTTAAAGAAATTTTTGGCTTGCTTCTCTCCAAAATTGACGAATATCTCTGCATCTTTGAAATATTCGCTTGGTAATGATATAATTCCGCAAATCATATCTTGAAGAAAGTGGCCGAATTGAGAATGATAGGAAAATCCTGCAATCACCTTATCGTATTGTATGAAGGAATGATTTTTAGGACCTGGTTTGCCCCAATAAGCGAACTTTCTGTTAGGTTCAACGAAATATCCATGGCAATTAAAGCCATCTCTCGTAATATCAACATCTCTAAAGTGGTAGTGAATTGCTTCTTGTAATCCAAGCGAATATTTATCCATATAATTTCCAACGTCATATTTACCGGCATTTCGAGTAATTACGGCTCTTAAATAGTAATTGTTTTCTTTAAGCATTGTGTAGTTATGAAATATTTCTAAATTTCTTATTAAATGAAATGGAGATATTGCACTAGCGTGTGCCATCCATGCTTGAAAGTAAATATTGAAAGCAAATGGTTCGAACAATGAAAATGTGATAATTGAAAGCATTAAAATTATGGCTTGGACATGAGATGATGAAGATCCGTTGAATTTCATTGAGCGACCGGATAAGGCGTATCGTCAAAATTTAAATTTTTAGTAAAAATTTTGGAATCATTTTATGGTATCTTGATAACCTTATCGAAAAAATACCTTTTTGTTGTATAAAAGTCAATGGAATCGATTGAAGGATCAATATCGTAAGATTTGATTCATTTCTGAAGTTATTTATATACAAAAATATACCCGTATAGATATAATTGTCATGAAATTTAAATATTTGATGATTTCTAGGAAACACAAATTAAAATCCATATTTTTTGGATCATACTTTCACAAATGAGATATCTGTGTAACAAAAATGCCTATGTGCACGGAAATTTATATGATTTTATTGTAAATGGCCATCATACTCCTTGCGATATGATGATTCATTGTGTTTATCTGCTATGCGAAGAATTTTTCACATTAAAATAATGTTTTATTTATGTTTATGCCAGCAGTGAAGATTAAACTCGGAAAAAATGTTTTCTCGGAGTTAGTATTTCTTTCAAAATTTGAGGACTTTTGATAATTCAGTTTCTGTAGAATTTCTGAAGTTGTAAATTGGCTCAAATGGAAGGAGGAAGAAAGAACGCATCATTTAAACTTATTGTGCTTGGTGATAGTGGTGTTGGTAAAACATCTCTAGTAATTAAGCAATGCCAAGAAACTTTTAGTTATCAGCGCGCTCCTACAATCGGAACCACACATATTAAAACCGTAATTCAAATTGACGACTATGATGTAGAGCTTAAAATTTGGGATACTGCAGGTCAAGAGCAATTTGCTGCTTTAGTACCGATGTATGCAAGAGGAGCTCAAGTTTGCATCTTTGTAGCCTCTCTTGTTGATCCTGCATCCATTAAACATATAGAAAACTGGCACGAAAGACTTAATACAGCTGGAGAAAATCCTCCTTTTATTGTCGCAATAAATAAGATTGATATCCCTACAGATGCTTCAACAACCATCGACCAAGTTAGAGAGGAATATTCTGAAAAGTATCCGAACATGTACTTTGTCTCAGCAAGAACAGGAGACTGCGTACACGAACTTTTCGCAGGTGCTGCACAAGAAGCTCTGAAAACTCTTAAATTAAAAGAAGAAGATGTTAGTGTTAACATTGCTGAAAATCAAAAGCCAGCAAACAAAGGCTGCTGTTAATGATATTTTTTTGTCCTATTTATTTGTTCATTTATATTGATAAATTATTACATCTATTGTTTTATATAAATAGTTAAATTCTAGAAACAAAAAAGAACAAAAATTGATCTGAAATATTGGTTTTCCATAAACAGAAGCGGTTTTTAATTAATGATTTGCATTTTCTATGATATAAATATGTTAAATATGTGAATTTTTAATCCGAAATTTTTATGAGTTTTTTTTTTATCATCAGATATTATTTTGCATTCATAAACTCTATCGCCACTGAATGTCTCCCAGAATGGAACAAAGTTCCCAAGTCAGAATGTGATTGCAGAACTTTGACCGAAAAACTGCAGCAGTGGAAATATGGTCATGAAATTGGGTCTTTCTCATAACATAACCATCTTCATTTACAGTAGCATAGTATTAATTAATGATTGTCCGATAAAGTGCGTATCCCATCTTGTTATACATGGTTTGAGATGGCCTGTCGAATAAATCAACAAATTTTGATTTAAAACATTCATCAGATGGGTATTAGCTCACCTTTGAATCCAATACTAGTGTATTTGTGACAATAGAAACTAGTATAATCTCTAATATGTGAATGATTGAAAGCATTATGTAGAAAAGATACTCTTTACCTCAATTAGTATGCTGATTTTCAACTCTCTTCTTAGCCCTATATCTCCACCAGACTTGAGTAGCCAAACTGAATTTGCGAGAATTGTCATTTTCCCACCGCAATCAGCTCATCCTTCAACAATTTTCCGCCAAGAAAATCTCATGCTATCACCAAAGAGCAATAATTCTTCGTTAAATCCATGCCAAAGGCTTTACCACGATCCTGCCCATTCACAAGGTCCTGCTAAGTCATCATTCCTCAAAGAATTGAATGTTACAGAGACTCTTAATAAAATCAAAGCAATTTCTCCACTTATGGAGCTTCTAACCATTCAAAAAAAAGCATTTATATAATAATTATTATCATTGTCTCACAGATCCAGGTCTTATGCCCGCATTGTTCAGATCTGTCAACTTGGAGTCAGATGAAGAATCTCGTGATATCGTAAATGCCTCAAAACACGAAATCCGTTCGATGTTGAATATGCCAGTTCATAAATAACTCCGATAAAAAACCTATTGATCCTAAAATTGAATTGTTTTCAGAGTTCCTTACCGCTTATTCCATCATGACGTACCTTTTGAAGTTCGGAGATAGGCATGACAACAACATTATTGTTATTAGAGATGGTCATTTATTGCATATTGACTACGGATTCATCTTAGGTGATGTTAATAAGTCTTTTACGCCACCAGTGAAATTATTCAGAGAAATGGTGGACATAATTGATCCGGAAAATGGTTTACAGGAGATTTGTGATTGGATTTGCTCCACTTTCAACTCATTAAGAAACAGAGCAAGACTAATTTTAGTTCTTATCGAATTGATGTTCACTGCTCCTCTTGAGTGCTTCTAACAGAATCCAATGCGTAGATTATCACAAGTTGAGAACTCTCTGTTGCTTAGCTGCAGTAAAGAAATAATTTAATGTCGTCTGCACCGACGATTGATGATGTTAGGTCTGTATGTTTTCCAATCTTTTTATAGCTTCGAGCTTCACATAAATAAGGAGAATATAAATTATGAAGATTTATTTCTGTCATTTTCTTTGAAATCTGAATATAATTTCCATTCATTTCGAATGTATTATCTTCAAAATGGCATTCATTTGCAGTAGGTGATCCTGAATTAATATTAAATAAATTAGATGCTTTGTTTCCTTTGAAGAAACATTGACTTACTGAAAGTTTAACAGAATCAGCAAGAAAGAAAATTCCACCATTTGAAACTTTGTTATCAATAACATTACAAAAATAGAAATTTTGTGTTTTTAAAATTAAGATAAGCTTTATTTATCTCCTTAAATATTCATCTTTTTGAGATTTTCATATATCAATATATTTAGCTATAATATAATCTATCTACCTGATTTGGAATATCCAAAAAAGGTTAAGGATTCGTTGATTTTGAAATTTTTTCATTTTTTTTTTCGAATTTTTTTTTTGAAGGAGGTCTATCGTCTTTAGGGCACCCTTAACCTTTACTGCCATTTTTTTATGTTATCAAAATAACAATGAAAATTAATTAAATTTCTTGTATGGCTTGGGAATTAATTAAACCAGTAGTGGTTCCACACGGGATATTGAGTGTTAATCAATGGAACAAGTAGAGAAAAATGCATACTAGTGTGACTCACTGAAGCCGCGATTAAATCCAGAATTAGCCTAAGTTGTATGAATATCATAATCTAATTTTGATGATAGTATAATATTATTAATATTTAGAGTATAAATCATTATATACTATCTGTATTACAATATGTTTGATCTATAATTCACAATAATGTTTAATATTAGGAGAATTCAATTGAAAATCTTATTATATAAATACAATTTTTCGTATTAAAGATTATACACATGTATATTTCACATTACTATAATCAAACATATCACTAATTTGCCTTTAGCAATAGTTTAACATAAGGATATAAAATATTAGATGTTTCAATCCCCAAGGAATACGAAAACTGCTTTTAATATTTTAAGATAACAAATGTAGATAAAAGCTTCAATGTTTCAAAAAAATTAACATATTGAGTGAGATTGCATCGAAAAATGATGCATATAGCTGCTCATATCTCAATATAATTGATAAGGTAAGTATTAATGTAGACTTCATATGTGATTTTAGTTCTCTAATGAGGATATACGTTTTCATTTATAACCAAAGCTGGTATTATTGCTGATTTAATAAAGTAAATATTTGTAATATGTATGTTTAGGGTGTTAAGAAACTAGCAATCATACTTTCACGATAAAATAATATTTCAAATAATAAAAATGAATTTAAGAATTTTATATAAATGCATATGAATATATATTAAAAATAACGACTTTTGACCGATTTATAAAAAAAATCCTAAAATTTCAATAATATCATTTTTCTGCTTTAAATACATGCTTTATAGCACTTTAAATAGATTTTATTGGCATTTAATTCTTAAATTATTCTCATTTCGCCATAATCTTCCTTGTTTTTCAAATTGTAATTCTAATTTCCCCAGAAATTAACTAACAGTCTTACACACACCTTCCATTCCATTTACAAACGACCAACTTATTAAAAATTGTAGGTTTTCGTAAATAATTTGGGAAATTTTTTGTGAATTTGAATCAAAGAGGAGAGAAATTATTGAATACTGTATCGTAAAGTGTATCTTCCCATGTTTTTGGTCTAAATTTTGTAATTTGGATCTCTGTTGGAGAAATAACTTCAAGAGCAGCTCCTTCGTGGAATCCGCCCACATAACTGGGCGCAGAGAATATAGTAAGGACTCGTTTATCATGGTTCCACTTAAATCCCGAGTTGACCGCTTCGTGTCCTCGAACAACAAATTTGAGATTATTTTTCTCAATAAACTTGGCAGATATATCAGGTCCCCAGCATTTTCCACCTTCTCTTATAGCTGGCTGAATACCTGGCGCCTCAGATGGATCGTTCCACATGATTTCTTTCAAAATAGGAAATTGTGTTGGAGGAGCAGAGCCTGTATCGGGTATTGTTCGTGTAAGTTGGTCTAGTTGCTCAATTGTTTCGAGAAATGGCGTTAATCCGCCGTGAACGCCTAAAATATTGTTATCAATTAAGATCGCAATAGGAATTGCCATAAAAACATCAATGAAAACACGCCAAATGTTGTAATCTCCGTAGCGTCGTAAAATTTCATCGTAAAATCCGTATGTTGCAGTCATATTGTAACCTTCGTGATTTCCACGAACAAGATAGAACGTTTCTGGGAATTTAATCTTGTATGCAAATAGTAATACTATTGTATGAACTGATTTATCACCTCTATCGACAAAATCACCAACAAAGCAATATTTTCCATCTGTTGGATATCCAAATATATTGAAAATCTCGAGTACATCATCAAAATCGCCGTGTACATCTCCTAAAAGAGTCATAGGTGATGTTGTTCTGAGAACATTTGGTTCATGCTTTAATATAGGATATACTTTGGAGCATACGAGATTTACATCCTCTACAGTAGGATCTTGACCTTCTAAAATTCTTTGAATAATAGAATCTATTTCATTCATGAATTTTTTTTACAAAATTTTTCGACGATTATTGTAAAGTACCATATATTTTTTTTCTTATTCTTGAGAAAAAAAAATTTAAAAAATGCAAGGTAACCTTGAAATTAGATCTATAACGGGCAATAAGTTTGTTTTCAAAGCTAACATGAAACATACCGTTCATGCTCTTAAAAAGGTGTTATCTGCTAAGCTCCAAGTTGATCAAAAAAATTTACATTTTATTTTTCATAAAAAAGAACTTCCCGATAATACGACTGTAGAAAAAATTGATATTAAACCTGATAGCTACATTATATACTACGAATCTCCAAAATCAAAGGATGATATTGTTAAATCTCAACCCCCAACTCCACCGCAGCCAATTGTTGAAGAACCTGCCCAAGAAGAAATGATTAAAATTGATAATCTAGAAATTGAACGCTCAAGATTCGACGATTACGTGGCCTTTTTACATAATATGGGATTTCAAAAGAATCAGTGCGTTAGTGCGCTTAAATTTACTCATTTTCAACTAGCATATGCTGCTGATATCCTTTGTACTGGAAATATTCCAAAAGAATTTTCGAATAGTGAATTTGAAAAGAAATTTTCTGTTATTCTTGACAAGCTACGCTCTAAAAAACTTAACCAAGAAAGGATTGATCTTATTTCTTCCAAATTCACACAAGATGAAAAGAAATCTATCAGAAACTTGATTGAACTCGGAATTAGCGAAGATCAAGCTATTCAGGCATTTATTGCATTAGACAGAAACGAAGCAGTTGCTACAAACTTATTAATTTCTATGTTAGAATAAAAATTGTATATTTGTTTATGAAATCATTCATAATATCATAATTTTAGTTACATACAAAATCATTGTATGAATATGAGATTGATTGTTTCATTGGAGTCTGTTTACTGATTCAGAATTTCTGAATTTCTGCTTAGTTGATTTTATCTCGAAATATGATTACAATGATCCATAATTATTTCTTTGTTGCTGCGTGCAATATATTCTTTCCCTTATATAAAATCATTTCATGGCCAAACTAGAGATGAAAGCTTTTTATTCACCTTTTGGACCTGAAAAAAGAGTTAAAACTCTTTTACTGTATGGTATTCAAGTTTTATCTCGTGACTTGCTTAGTAGTATGATAGGGAGGGTTGTGTGACTTTTTTTGTAAACGTAAGAATTCATGCAATATCGAGTGATTTTGTATCATTTTTTTTAACATATGAAGTAAAAAATGTATGATTCTTACGGTTTTTATTCTTACGTTTTTGAATAAATCAAGATTTAAAAAATTTTCAAAATTGTAAGACATTTACACTCAGCCCAAACATAATGAAATAAAAAAAAAAAAAAAAGGTAGTGGGGCCTCCAGGCACTTCGTGCCCTCTAGCCCTGAAGATGTTTAGTATAACTTTGTCCGGACAAGTAAGGGTCTATCGTCGCTACAGGAAAAGTTACAGGCGTTCCAAGGAAGTATACTTTGAGAAGCCTTTCCCCGTTATAGAATGAGATAGGACGGTTATTTTACAAAACTGACAACACTTTGACCGAGTAGTTTTTTGTGCTGAACAAAAAGTGTCATATAAACATCTGCCAAAAACCGCTTTTTAACTTCACTTAAAATGCCACGTAAGCTACGTAAGAATATACGTAAGAGGAAGAGAGCATTGAAACATCCAATAGTAAAACTGACACCACAACAACAGTTGCAACAACAAATGATGAATGACCCCACTATGTTGCAACAAATGTCAAGCAACCCTATGCTTTTAAACCGAGTTATTGGTGCACAGAGTGGAGGTTTAAGAGCGGCACTTTTAGCGAAAATGGCAGGCTATGGTGGAGCTGCAGACGGAACAGCTTATAACCCTCAAAGTCAAATGAATTTGAGTTCACTCAAAAATCAAATAACAGATGTCAAAAAGTCAAACATAGACATACAGAAACAAAATAAGTGAAAACGAAAAGAAACTAGAATATGACAGACACACAAAGAAACTCAATGAGTTAAACGTAGAGAAAAAGAAGAAAGAAGAACAACTGAAAGAACTAAGTACAGAGGAATATGCGAAAAAAGTGTCAGAAAAAGCAGCAGAAGTAGCAAAAATGGAACAAGATGTTATAAATTTGAAAAACCATACTACTCAATATAAAGTACTGAAAGATGAAGAGATAAAACAAAAAGCCCTGAAGACATATATGGATAGCGATGAGTATAAAAAAGAAGTTGAAGCAAATGTAAAGGCAGAAAAACTTTTACAGTTGCAAAACCAAACCGTACAGTATGAAAACTTAGCACAAGAAAATAAAAATAACGACGCAGCCATGCAAAAGGCAATGAAAAGCGCAGAATATATAAAAGCTAATAATGACTGGTTAGATGCCCAAGCCAACGCCAAAGCAGCCCAACTTATAGGGTCAATAAGGACAAAAATACAAGCGGATGAAGACAGTTCAAATGAAGCTTTAATGAATGCTGACTTTAAGAACGCCTTCGAAGCTCTTCATAGTAAGGTGAAACTAGTGAACGACTTCTCATCTGGAAAGAAACTGAAGTCTGAAGGTTTCGACAAAGAGTTAAGAGAAGTAGCACAAAATATGACGAAAATAACAGATGCAGCAACGAGACAGGCAGTTCAAAGTGCCTATGACGCCGTTAGAGCAACTGTTGTGGAAAGTCAAGAAAAAGAGTTACAACAGACCAAAACAGACCTAGTAAATGCTTTCTTAAAAACGAAAAGTCAGGTAGGACATTATGCTGCAGATGGAACATATGTGCCAGCTGGTGGAACTTATATACCAGCTGGTGGAACTTATATACTAGCTAGTGGAACTTATATACCACCAAACCCTCCAAGAGAAGCACCTGCACCAGGACTACCTAAAACATTTACATCGTCACATGGACACAGACACAGGCATGCACCAAAACCAACACAACAACCAACACAACAACCAACAGTTCAAAACACTGCACCACAACCAACAGTTCAAAACACTGCACCACAACCAACAGTTCAAAACACTGCACCACAACCAATAGTTCAAAACACTGCACAGCAACAACCACAAACAGAGCAAGGACATAAAAGAAGTAGAGAACAAGGAAACCAAGAATTCTTAAAAATGCTTAAGGAAAATTATGGTTACCCAGATACTCTTGACTTTAGTGACAGATATAAAGAAGCTATTAGAAAGTTCAAGGAAGGAAATACTGACCCGAACCTATTTAGCTTTATGGTTCAGCACCAAATGGGATATAATTTCAAACCTGGAAAATACAAGCTCGCTAAGGGATATGATTTAATAGCATATCATCCAAATGACATGACTGAATTTACTCCGAGATATTTGGTGTCAGAGCTAAATGATAATTCAACTCTCTTCATGAAACGCGTAAAAATAGAGACGGAACGAAAGAAGAAAGGTTTATGAGTCCGGATGACTTAGATAGGGAACTTTTTAAAAACGGTCTCGGAATATATGAAATGCCAGCAGATGAGGTACAAGAAACTCCACAGGAAGAAGTTCAGATACAACCAGACATGGAAGAAATAGTTCAGCAACAACAGCTAGAAGAGCCTGAAGGAAACGAACAAGTCCCTCCTTTGGAAACTAACTTCACAGAACTAGATGAAGATTTGGAACAGCCGAAAAATCTTGACCCTCAACAAGTGTATGCGGGGAATATGGAATCTTTCCAAGAGTCTAAGAAAAATTCGGCTGACATAGTAGAAGAATATCGAAAAATGTTCGCCGACATACAAAAGACTCCAACATCAGATGAAAATATCAGCATAGAATGGAAGTACTGAAAGAAAATGTACGCAAATACAAACAATCCTTTTTACTTACGACCATATAACGTTCAATCTTTGGCTGAACTCGGTGAAAATAAAAGGTTAAATTTCACCAAAACATATAGAAATGAAACATTGTTTAAAGTTCATTCAGAACCTAGCCAATATGGAAACAAACCTACTTTTGTTTCTGCAGACTATGGAACTACAATGAGATGGGGTCATAAAGCTAATCCGGATAGGTGGTTCATAAACTTACAACCACAATTCCAAGAAGTTGTAGACGCAATGGAAGTGAATGGTGAACCAGATATAGCTGGTATTTTCAGCGCGGCTTTAATGCCATTGAAAGATATGAAAGATGCAGATATTTTGAACCAGTATGAAATGAACATGGCTGATGGAAATATAACACCTGACGTTCTAAAACATTTATCTCAAAGAACTACACAGAACCATAAAGATGGTATATTTGGTGAAGAGTTTAGAAAGAAAGTTAGGGAGAGAGAAGGAAGAGAACCTATTGTACATGACCTTGCAAACGAAAGTTTGCAAAATGTCATAAAAACTTACTTTGCAGACAATGAACCGAGAAGGGATGAATATTTAAGAAAACTCAAATGGACAGTACCAAATGAAATGTTAGTATTGAAAAACATGTTCCATGACAAAATAAAACCAACTACAGAAATAAATGACGCAAGACTGAAACGTTGGGTAAAAGCTTTCCCATTCACAAAAGATATTATTGGTAACATGGAAAGAAAACCAGAATGGCTACAAAAACATATATTTGGAAACGAGCTTATTCCATATGGACAAGCTCTGTTTGAAGAGCTTGAACCGGAAACTCAGGAAAGAGTCATGCAAACAATACGCGAAGACTCAAATACAAACTATGACAAAATCTTTCTAGGATATAGGTTACCTGAGATGGGCGACCAGAGCCCAAAGGCAAAAAGGACATGGGAAATTTACAACATACTAGGTGAACATGAGGCAAAGATGCAACAACTTGAAGCAGAGGGCAAGTTACCAAAAGCGACACCAAAGAAGAAGAGTAGAACAAAGTGAAAGTAGTGAAGAAGTAACTTCATCTAGTGAAAGTAGTGGCAATGAAGGAAAAAGAAGAGTTAAAAACTCAGTCAGGAAGAAAGTAAAGCTTGGTACGAGTGGGTTCTATTATGATATATAAATCCAACTATTCTATATTTTTACCCATATGAAATGTACGCCGCTCAGAATATAACGCCAACAGTTTTGGATGCCATGAACGGAAATGTTTCCGAATGGTATAACGAATGCGACAATGCCATTAGAAGGTCAGAAATAGTTCCTGGAACTTACGAATATACAACTGCTGTTTCTTATGGAAATGTAGGTGAGTTTGGAGAAGGTTCTTCAACAACAGTAGATATTGCTTGCGACAGGTTTCATATTATTTCTATTGACAACTCATTCTTATACGTGGAACAAGACATTGAAATAAAACCTTCTGCCAAGTTGTCTGACAAGAAAGGTTGCAATGGAATTTTCTATGTCGGATACCAATATGCTCCAGAAGTTTTCATGGATATAAGATATATTCTAACTCTGACTTAGTTCAAACAGTAACATGGGCAAACTATGAATGGTTCGCTTTGAGAAACTCAGTACAACCACAAGCTAGAGAACAAACAGACCAGTATGCAAATATTGAGAAAATAAGAAGACTTGACCCTAACGTTCCAGGAGTTTATGTTAACCTTTCTGGTTCAGATGGAAATGCTGCCACTAAAGTAAAACTGAAACTTAGAGTTCCTTTGTCATCTTTCCTCATCTTCAGGTTTTTAAGATACTTGCCAAACTGGGCAGGAAAAATTTCTATTGAACTTACTCCAAGCAAAAATAACTTAGTCATTGCACCAACACAAGACCCATTCAGCATTACTGTAGCTGGAACTGGTGGAGCCAAGTTCTGTGACTTTTGCAAAGACAAAGTTGACTTAGACTTTGGTTTCT